GGTATGCTTGAGACTGTAGTGTGTACATATTGACCAAGAGTTCTGTGTTAAGAATAGAAAAGATGTAAATGAGCCCCCATTAACCGGTATCACTGCAATCCAGTCTACTTAACTTTTAAAGGTAAAATTGTTTGAGCCAGCAAGTACTAAACTTATTATGCTTTCTTTTTTTGTGTTTTATTGCTCTGTGGGTGAAAGAGCATTTTATGTACAGCCTGTCAGCTACCTTTTACCTGCATTGTTTTATTATAGAGTTGATTCCTTTGGAGAGAAGCTACATGATACAATAGGGGTGAAAGAAGCTGGTTGCTTTTTGTCTCAACAGTAAAGCTGAATACTTAATTGGTTTTCTTTGTATTGCCAGTAGGATGCCTTTTACTTTTACCAACTTAATTTTCTACTTTTTGTTTCCCCAAATGAATATGTAATTATTATGAAACTGCCTATATATAGATAGATAGATACCTATATATATTCCTCTTTCCCTCCCACATATCTCACGTACATACTTACACATGCATGTGTGTGTATACACGTGTGTTTGGGTGTGTATGTGGTTATATCTATGTGCATGCATACATTCTTCTCAATGTTCCTGACCATGATGCTACATCTGGCCACCAATAAGCTTCCAGCTGGAGTGGAGCTGAACTACTGAATGGATGTTAATCTTAGCTGACTCCCAAGCCAAAACCAAGACCACCCCAATCATCAAGTTCCAGTATGCTGATGATGCTGTAATCTGTGCTTACTTGGCAGCAGACTGTCAGGCAATCATCGACATCTTTACCAAGGCATACAAGAAAATGGGACTACACTTAATAGTCAGAAAATGAAAGTCCTCCATCAGCAAGCTCTTAATGAGCAGTCCCCAACTCCGGTAATTCAGATCTATGGTGAGACTCTGGAGAACATCGTATTTCCTGTACTTCGGAAGCCGTCTCTCACAGGAGGCCGACATCAATGATGAAAATCAGCATCCCCTCAAATGTGCAAGTGCAACCTTTAGACACCTGAGGAAACAGGTGTCCAGTGATCACAACGTCAGATCTGAAACCAAGCTCATGGTTTATCAGGCGGTTGTGATCTCCACCTTACTGTACGGAGCCGAGACGTAGACAACATACAGGAGACATTTCGTGAAGAAGTACTATGTGCTGCCTGCAGAAAATCCTTCAAATCCAGTGGGAAGACACATGCTCCAACATTAGCGTCCTTTTGCAAGCAAAGACCATAAACATTGAGGTGATGATCATCTGACATCAACTTCGCTGGCCCGACTACGTCATCTGGATACCTGACTCAAGACTCCTAAAGCAAGTTTTATTCTCCCAGCTCAGTCGAGGCACATGCTCAAGAGAAGAGCAGAGGAAGTGCTTCAAGGACATCCTCAAGGCCAACTTGAAAAAAATGCAACATCAACTCATGGGAGGCTATTGCCCAAGACCACCCCAAATGTAGGAAGAATCTGCTGCAAGGATCTTAGTACTTTGAAACCTTACAATAGCAACAGGAGACAGAAAAGCAGGAGTGGTGGAAACAGTGCATCACAGACCAAGTCAAGAAGCCAGAGCTATCCACCCCACACAGAAACACATGCCGGAGCTGCAGCAGTCTGTCAGTCCTGGATCGGCTTCGTCAGCCATCTTTGGACCCACAGATAAGACATTCATGAAAGACAATCATCCTCGACTGTGAAGGATTGGCAAAGAAAAAGATACATATGTGTATATAATATGTTATACAAAAAGGATATGCAAGAGGCTGAGAAGTGTGTGGATGTAATACACAATATATACAAACACTCTCTAATATACAAGAGAGAAAATATACCCCATAGGTATTTAGCTTTACATACAACCTCTTTTTGTGCAACTTATTGCTAACTGGAAAGCTATATTATGGCATAAGAAACCATTCATAATATTTGGGGAAAAAAGAGCTGTATTAACAATCACACTGGCTGACATTAATTTGTTATAGTGCAAGTCCAGATGAGATCTAAAGTAGATGCCATAATCAGTTAGAACAGTTATTCCTTGATGCTTGTAACAAGCATAATGATACAATTAGCTCTTTGCAAACAGTAATAGAAGTTCATGATGGTCATAGTATTTGTGTCAGTTTCTTGCACTTCTGGAATAGGGGGTAAGTGACTTGACCACAAGCATACAGGTTAATATACTCAGGATGGGGGTCTGACTTTTTTCAGCTGCTCATCTGCAGGTTTGTTTTTGGCATAGGCGATGATGTCACTCTCAAATAAGATTTTAACGTGGTTATCGCAACCAAGGCTGTCCAGCTGGTGGCCCGCAGGCCTTGTGAGTAGTCAAGTTGCAATCCCTAGGCTCCTGCTATCCACCACTCCCCTCATTACTCCATGATCCCTGTCCCTGCTCTAGCTGTTGCTTTCTGCCTTTGCTCCAGGCAGTGTAGAGGTGTGGTGCAGCACAGGGAGCTAGGGGTGAGTCTGGGGCCATTCATGGGGATGGGGGGGGGTATGGAATCATGCCCACGTGTTGGTTGGTGACTTTGTGGGGTAGGGGGGTGGTGCCGAGTGTAGTGGTGAAAGGAGCATCCACAACTCAGTGATCCATGCTTGCAACCCCCGTGTGGCCCTGGTGCAGCCCCTGAAGGTGCATCTCCAGAGCATGTGGCCCCCAAGGGCTTAGAAGTTGGCCAGCTCAATCCTAAATTCCAGTCCCTAATTACATTCTGCTTCCTAATTTATCCTACATTTCAAATAATCTGAGGACAGGGGTGCTTAACCCCAGGCCACAGGCCAAATCCAGTCTACAGAGCCTTGGCATCCAGTCCATGGGGCTCCCCAAGCATCAGGAAATTTGGTGGCAGGGGAGCCCTGGCAATTAAAATATTGCCATCGCTCTTCTGCTGCCATATTCCCAAGCTTTGCGGGGCTGGGTGGGGACTCCAGGCCATGCCCTTTTGCCCCTGCAGGGCCAGGTTGGGGCTAGGCAAGGCCCCCTTCTTCCACATAACTGGATCAGAGCCAAGATGTTCTCTGCCCCCTTTTGTGCAGCTGGATCAGGCCCTGCTAGACCCACCCTGAACCAGATTGGGCCCACTGGCCAGATCCAGCCCATGGACAGACTGGACAGCACCCACCTAGTTTGCAAGGCAGAAAGGTTGAGCACCACTGCTCTGGGGTGATTTTTTTCATTCTGTTCCTTGAAATGTTGAGCAGTTAGAATTGTGAATGCTGTTATAATATCTGTCGCTCCCAGGGTGCTGTCCTGAAAGTGGGAGCAGTAATTCCTATATGTGCGATCCTTCAAGTAGAAAAACATTATAGTCCTTTTTTTTTAATGTAGCTATCTTTGTTCCTTTCTTTTACTCTTTAACTTCATAGTTTGCTACTGCCATTGTGGGCATCGTTCTTGATGGTTCAGAAGCAAACACTGATAGTCTCCTTGCATGATAGGAGGTGGGACTAAACTAAAAGTAGGAGGTTCTGACTGTGACCACACAATATTAGCACTGTTAGATGTGCAAATATCTACACATGGTTCACATGATAGACCCAGAGATTTCAAGTAAGAATCCATACTGTCCACAATATTCTGACCTGTCATGGTGTTTCTGGGTTCTTTGCAATAAAAAATTTACTTCATTATTTTTTCCATGGTCAAAAACAAATGAAAAATAAGAGCTGGCATTTTTTCAGGAGGTGCTTTGAGTTTAATGAAGGGTGTCTTGGGAACCACCATCCTAAGTGTTCAGATTTACTTTTGTTAAGTTAATCTTTTTAATGCTTTAAAAAAATTGTTGTACTTCTGTATTAGGAAAGAAGCCTTTTAAAAACCTTTAAAGCAAAGATGTATGTTATGCTTAGATATGATGCAATTCATGTTCAGATATCCTCGAATCATCCTTGGGGAAGGTCACGCTTTACATTTGACAACTATAAGACTTGTTCAAATAGACCAGTGCAAATACTAAGGCAATTGTTTAAAGTAGAGTCATAGATACAGTAGCAATGCTGGACCTAAGGAAAATTTAAATGAGAACTGCAGAAATTTACAGAAGAAAAGTGAAGCTGCAAAATGGATTAGTGAAATTTCAGGAATTTCAGCTGAAATCACAATAGCAAGCAAAACCTGATCAACTGACTGTTCTCTAGACTTCCTTCTCCTCTTTCCTCCAACTTAGTCTAACCTAAGACCTTCTTCTTGCCATGGCCGAACGGGCTGAAATTCGTTCCATTTCCAAAGTTTGGGCTTTTTCAGAAGCTCTATGAGACCTTTCCCATTTAAGCAGGCATCTGGCAAACAAAGCTAAGCTGAAATATTGTTTAGGAGGGTTGTTTTATATTAGTATTGTACCTGCTTTTGATGTTGTTCTGTTCTCTTTTTTTATAAGCCATTCTAAGTCTTTGTTGGGAAGGGTGGCATATAAATTAAATAAATGAAGGCCAGTTTTGCATCTGATTTGATAATTACACGTTGTTCTAGGTCAGAGGTGGGCAAAATCCAGTCTGCAGGCCAGATGCAGCCTGCCAGGCCACTCTATCTAGCTGGCGGGGTCCCTAAAAAATTTAGAAAATTAATAGTTATCTGCCCCGGCTGCCTGTCATGTGGCCCTCAATGGCTTGCCAAAACTCAGTAAACAGCCCGCCGCCCAAAATAATTGCTTGTCCCTGTTCTAGGTGAACAACTTTAGTCTCTACCCCAGAACTTCAAATAAGCTAACTAAGTAGACTGAACTGGCATCTCTTTAACAAGATGTATTTAAGCAGAAAAGTACTAACCTGGCTTCCTTGATGAGTATTGTGGCCTTGTCATAGTTTGATACCTTTACCAGTTGGTAGTCTAAACAGGCTACTTCTGGATAGTTTTAACTAGAATTCTTCATAGATGAGTTGGTAACTTAGAGTTGTATATCACAGAATAATGCTATACTAACCAAATACCTTCTTTTCTATTTTGAGGAAATTGCATAATGAAATGTGTTTCTGAACTAACTTTTAAAATTCTTTCTAGATGAAGATGGAAGTCAGGATGAGCCATTGGAATCAAAGGTGAGCATCCCATTTGATTTGTTCTTACAAAACTGTTTATAAAACTTTTGCACAGATATAACAGAAAAGCCTGTTAGAATTAAGATGGAAGATGCAAGACCTAAGGCTTTAAAACTGGTTGTAGAGGATGAGAACAGTTTTATCTTCTTCAACAGGACTTTCCTGTGACTTTTGTTATCTTTTCTTCCTGTGACTTTTTCACAGAATTTTAGAATGCTTTAGCTTTTTAAACATTTCATTCTGAAACAGTACAAATGAGTTATATTTTTCTGGGTGAACTTGCATGTACATATGTGCATAAAAGAAGAATACCTGAGTAATATTACTAGTGGATGGATACAGTGGTGGTAGGAGTGTGGGGTGGAGTGAGGATATTTTGAGGGGATTGTTAAGAAATTAATAGTAAGTGGTAGGTAAGATCTAATGAGTTTGTGATTGTAATATATTTTTAAACCTCCACTGTCGCAAGTAATGTACTAGAAATTTGTTAACTCTTTTGAGAACACAAAAGGGCAGAAAATGGATAGTAAATAGTGGTATTTGGTGATAGGGTTAGTTGTCTTCTTTCTCTCTCTCTCAAATTCTGCTATCTATCCTTCTTTAGACTTCCTTATCTTCAGAAGAGCAAGTAAAGGACCACTCCACTGGAACCACAGTGGTAGCTGGTCAGATTTTCCTTGAGTCAGAAGAATCCGATTCTCATACTGAAGATGAAGAGATCATTAAGAATCAAGAGGAGGAGAAAGAAAGCACCTTGGAAGAGTTAAATACTTTAGAAATGTCAAACCTATTAAACAAGGACCTGGAAGACATAGAAGTGCAGAAACCAGGTAACAATGCTTGAATTCAGCAGGCTTCTGTACTAGGGACTGGAAGCAAACTGGATCTGCATAAGTTTAGAGGGTGATTGGATCTGCATCCAGTCAGTCTTTGCACTTATCCAATAGTCAACATTACATCTGAATGTCCAGTTTCAGAATGGAGTAGTCATTGCCAACTTAATTTTCCCTATCGCCAAATAAAAAAAATTCCAAATATGTGCTACTGATTTAGACTTTCAGGCTATTTCGTGTGCATTTTAAAGCATATTCCATAGGTTTTTTTTATTGCATTTCATAGGAAAACAAATGATTTGTGAGTGAACAGAAGAATTCATATCTCCATGTTCTGATATGAATATTCTCTTACATTTATAATAGAGTACAGTCTAAAGCTTTTTTTGCTATACATGCACCTCAGATAACGAGCCTCCTTTCAGCCAGAGGGAGAATATATCAACTCTTTGTTCTGCAAGACTGGGGTGCTCAACCCCCTCTCACTGGTCCATGCGGAGCCCCACAGGCTGTGGCCCTGCGTGCCATATTGGGTGTGGCCTGATTCTAGTGCATAGAGGCAGGACCCAATCCTGGTGCACAAGGCCAAACCTTGAGCACCACTGTGCTAGGGAATGCATGCGGCTTCACTTACTGAGGGACAAGACAAACTTTGATACAGAGGCAACTTTGCACATGAACAAACTGTTAGGAGTCTTAGGAGAGTTCTGATCTTTCATATAAACTTTGATAAGTATTCTAATAATATACTTTTTACAATCATGTTGGTTTGTACTGAAGTCATTCAGAGAAGTTGAATAGAAATTGCTTTTTATAAGAATTTTAAGTTTGTCTTCTTTATCATACTTTACTTATTTTTTTCCACTTACTCCTATAGTTCACCTGTTGAAAATTGTTGCATTTTGGTGTCCTTGACCTAATTTGAGGCTCATAAGAAAACAGCTTTTTTTAATGTGCCCATCATAATTTTTTTTTCACCTGTAACCTTACTGAAAACCGATTGTCTAATATATGACCTTGGCATTTCTCTTTGTGTCTTTTTGCAACTCCTGGTTCGAATGGCAAAAGGAAGCAGTCTTTTGAAAGCATCCCTTTATAATATCTGCTGCCCTTTACCAATATTATACACTTAAGAAAAGTGACTTCTTATATTACTTGCAATAGCCTCTCACTAATATAAAATGTTCTACACTTATTTTACAACTTCTAAATATTGCAGTAGGAAGGTGTGGCATTGAATAGAGATTTAAAATATTAATTAAAAAAGACAAGTAAAACAGTTAGCTAAAATAACTACCAATGTTAAGTGTTCATATTCAGTATTCTTGTTCAATCAGTAGTTTGTGTATTGAAGGGAAAATTTAATTTAAGATGCATTTTGTATCTTCCCATCACAGTGTCATGAAAAGGCTTTACCTTAGCATTGACTGAATCATATTTTTAAATAGAACTGTCAAAAACCTCAGCTTATTTCTTGATCCTTTCTCACTGTTGCATAAGGAAGCAAGTTTAAACATCTTGTGCTATTCTTGAAACCCATTTTTATTCTGAAGTAAAAAGTGATAGAAGTAAAAAGATAAGTTTTTCCTTTTTATCCAAACGGTTTCACTTCTGTTTGAAAAGAGAGGGGAAAATCCCTATGATAGAAACTGAATTTGTTATTGGCTGGCATTGTTTGCAAGCTTTTGAGCACAGCAGGGATGGGGAAAGTAAAGGAACCTTTTCCATAGGCACTGTTCTTTCCCTTGAGTGAATTAATGACAACTAGCGGCAGTCTTGATCTTGGAATACTTCTCATCTTTTTTTCTTTAGTTCCTGAGGTTGGAACTAGAATTGATTCTGGAAACTGCTCTGCAGTCTTGCAGAAGAATCTTGTCAGTTGCAGATTTCCTTTTATGCTCTACTTGAAGCTGTCCCTGTCCCTCCTTCAGCAAAGTTCTTAATCTTCTATATTAAGTGAAATAATGTATGGAGAATTAATCGATTTGAGGGATAGAGGAAGAGGGAAATATGGATGGCAGCTCATGGCACGGGACTGTAGTAGAGG